CACTAGAAACGCCAGAGGAGAGCTACTAGTAGAATTCGCAGAACTGCAATAGTTTGCGGATATTGAATACCTTCTACCGAAAACGAGAAAACCGCAAGTGGACATGGAGGAGCCCTAATGGCGAAAATAAGAACGAAATAGACTTTATAATGACTGCACACCCAAGAATCGTGCAGGATGTGGAAGTGGTTGGCAAGGTACGATGCAGTGACCATAGAATGGTACGGTCTCGAATTCGCCTAGACTTGAAGAAGGAACGACAGAAACTGATACGCAAGAAGCCAATCAATGAGCTAGCACTGAGAGGGAAAGTACAGGAATTCAGAGTGTCGCTGCAGAACAGGTACTTGGCTCTTAGTGAAGGAAACCAACCTTAGCGTAGATACAATGAATGATAATCTGACGAGTATCATTACGGAGTGTGCAGTGGAAGTTGGAAGCAGGGTAGTTAGACAGGACACTGGCAAGCTTTCCCAGGAAACGAAAAACCTAATTAAGAAGCGTCAAATCATGAAAGTGTCAAGTACAATAGACAAAATAAAACTGGCAGAGCTTTCGAAGTTGATTAATAGACGTAAAGTTTGCGATGTAAGAAGGTATAACATGGAGAGAATTGAACACGCTCTGAAAAACGGAGGAAGCGTCAAAGCAGTGAAGAGGAAACTTGGGATAGGCAAAAGTAGGATGTATGCACTAAGGGACAAAGAAGGCAAAATAACTACCAATATGGATAGGATAGTTAAAATTGCGGAGGAGTTTTACAGAGATCTGTACGGTAGCCGAGACAACCATGGCCTTAATACTATAAGAACTAGCAGTAACCTAGATGACACCCCACCAGTAATGATAGAAGAAGTCATAAAAGCTTTGGAGAGCATGCAAAGAGGCAAAGCTGCTGGTGAGGATCAGGTAACATCAGATCTGCTGAAAGATGGAGGACAGATTGTGTTAGAAAAACTAGCCACCCTGTTTACGAGGTGTCTCCGGACGGGAAGGGTACCAGAGTCTTGGAAGAACGCTAACATCATCTTAATACATAAGAAAGGAGATGCCAAGGACTTGAAGAATTACAGGCCGATCAGCTTGCTCTCTGTAGTATACAAGATATTTACAAAGGTAATTGCTAACAGAGTCAAGAAAACATTAGAATTGAATCAACCAAAGGAACAAGCAGGATTTCGAACCGGCTACTCAACAATTGACCACATTCATACTATCAATCAGGTAATAGAGAAATGCTCAGAGTATAACCAACCACTATACATAGCCTTCATAGATTACGAGAAGGCCTTTGATTCAGTAGAAATATCAGCCGTCATGCAAACACTGCAGAATCAGGGCGTAGATGAAGTATATATAAACATTCTGGAAGAAATTTACAGGGGATCAACTGCTACCATAGTGCTTCATAAAGAAAGCAACAGAATACCAATCAAGAAGGGTGTAAGGCAGGGGGACACAATCTCCCCAATGCTATTTACCGCGTGCTTACAGGAGGTTTTCAGAAGCCTAGAATGGGAACAGTTAGGCATAAGAGTTAATGGAGAATACCTTAGTAACCTGCGCTTCGCCGATGATATTGCATTGCTGAGTAACTCAGGGGACGAATTGCAACTCATGATTACGGAGTTAGACAAGGAGAGCAGAAAGGTGGGTCTTAAAATTAATCTGCAGAAAACGAAAGTAATGTACAACAACCTCGGAAAGTAGCAGCGCTTCGAGATGGGTAATAGTGCACTTGAAGTTGTAAAACACTATGTCTACTTAGGGCAGGTAATAACCGCAGAGCCTAACCATGAGATTGAAGTAACTAGAAGAATAAGAATGGGGTGGAGCCCATTCGGCAAGCACTCTCAAATTATGACAGGTAGATTACCACTATCCCTCAAGAGGAAGGTATATAACAGCTGTATCTTGCCGGTACTTAGCTACGGAGCAGAAACCTGGAGACTTACAAAGAGGGTTCAGCTTAAATTGAGGACGACGAAGCGAGCAATGGAAAGAAAAATGGTAGGTGTAACCTTAAGAGACAAGAAGAGAGCAGAGTGGATTAGGGGACAAACGGGGGTTAGGGATATCATAGTTGAAATAAAGAAGAGGAAATGGACATGGGCCGGGCATGTAGCGCGTCGACAGGATAACCTCTGGTCATTAAGGGTAACTAACTGGATTCCCAGAGAAGAGAAGCGGGTTAAAGGGAGACAGAAGGTGATGTGGACAGATGAGATTAAGAAGTTTGTGGGTATAAATTGGCAGCAGCAAGCACAGGACCGGGTTAACTGGCGGAACATGGGAGAGGCCTTTGTCCTGCAGTGGACGTAGTCAGGCTGATGATGATGATGATGATTTCGAACTTCTTTCAATTCAAAGAAATTTTCGGGCCTTCGAGTTCGAATTATCGAGATTCGACTGTACCATACATCTGACTGTTACCACTGCCCACTTTATAAATGTATTGCCGCTCACAGCCTGCACACAGGATGCAGAACAGTGTGATGCCAGACCCGCATGCTGAAAAGTGCGGCACTGGTGCTATGTTGGAAGTGCCAACAGCATTTTTTCTTCAGCATATGTCTCAGATTAGGCTATACGCCGATGACTGCGTGATTTATCAAGAAATTACTTCTGCTGAGGATCACGAGAAACTTAACAACTCATTTTCCAATTTTTGCACTTGGTGCCAAACCTGGCAAATGAATGTAAATTTCCAAAAAACTGTGTGCATGACATTTTCTACTCGGTCATCCGCTCATCTATTTCCCTACTCATTCGATGGTTGTCATTTAACAAGAAAAATGGAATATAAGTACCTCGGCCTTCATTTCACTCACAACATGTCCTGGTCCAAACACATTGATATTACGTATAATAAAGCCCTGAAGAGATTAGGTTACTTACAGCGCGTTCTCCGTGTAGCACCAAAAGAAACCAAGCTCTTAACATTTAAAATGTTAGTACGGCCATTACTCGAATACGGTTGTGTCGTGTGGAATCCACACAAAGCATCCGACATTGCAAAACTAGAATCCATACAAAAAAAAGCCGTCCGTATTATCTACCGAAGATATGACCGGGATTTTTCGCCTACGTCCAACTTAGCACCTTTGGGTTTAACTCCTTTATCTGCCAGGCGCCATTCAGAATGCTTAAAGCTCCTGTACACCTTGATTAATTCGCCGCGCTTGCCCTCGCTCCACAGGTATCTGCAGTGTGCCACACCACCCTCTGTTCACACCAGGAGTCAACATGTGCTAAATATTACGCCACTTCACCCCAAAACTGATTTGTTTAAGTATAGTTTTTTTCCCTTCACTATTGAGCTCTGGAACTTGCCACCCGGCGATACCCGCGGGCTCCCTTTGGAGCAGTTTCTGAGTGCAATATCACATGCGTGTTAAGTAGATATTTCCATGTTCTTTTGCTTTCTGTGCTCTTGCTCTGTTCATTCTGTATCTTGTGTAGTACTATGAACCACAAATTTGTGCCATATGCTCATGTTTTTGTTTCTGCTTGTTATCACCTGATCATTTGTATGTCCACTCCTGCAATAGCCCTAATAGGGGCTGCAGTATGTATAAATAAATAAATAAAACAAACGACTAGTGAATGTGCACTAGTGTACACAGCAACACAGCGGCAAGATTCCCGCCACTTGTTAGAGGGACACTAAAGTCAAGTAACATTTCACGTGACAGTGAAAGCTCAATGTATAACGTCTAAAACAACAATATTATCAACAGCAACGCCCTACTTACCAAAAAACTAAGGTAAATGAACGAGAACACACGCGTCAAAATAACACATTGATCCTGATGACATCGGTTACAGCCTACAATTAATCACTAACAATCAAACTAGCTGTACTAAATAAAGAACATTCCGTGCATCAAGAGACTTAATAAAATGCTGCTTGTTCGTTTCAGTTTGATTCACGGAAAAAAACTGCCAGACGTTACTACGGGGAATGGGGCGAGTGGTTCAATAGTTCAATTTTCACCTGGTTAAACTAGACTGATCATGCCATCTAGCTTGTTCGTCTGACGTCACCGGGATCATTTTGATAATATCCTACTGCGACACGTGTATTCTTGTGCATTTACCTTAATTTGTCGGCAAATAGGGCACTGCTCTTGATAATGCAGTAGTACCTCGTTAAAACAAAGTGTGAAATGATTTTCTCTGCGAGGCAGGCTGCTGTGATATTCAGTGGCGAGCACATTCTCTCTTGCTGGCTAATGGTTGGTAGAAATTAATATGGGCTAAAATAAACTAATGCTATAACGAAGAATTTAAGACTCCCCCTTCAGATTCGTTATAACGAGGTTTAACTGTATTGTCGTTTTATACGCTGTCATACATTGAGCTTTTACTCTGACGTAAATTGTTAGTTGACTTTAATGAAAAAAACAATTTCGAGTACTTTAACAGTAATAACACAGGTGTTGTTCACTAAGGTATCTTTGAGAATTGCATAATGAATTACGAGGTTCGGGCAACCCCACCACAGGCGATGAACCGCCCTCCAGTTCATTGTGGTCTTCATTGCCTAAAAAGAATGTTTATGCATGTACATTTATTTTAAACGACAGTTAGATATGAAACACATCAGTGGGCCTTTTAAGGTTGCATGAAGTGGCAAAAGAAGCTTATACCGTATCCTTAAAAATAAAATACTGTAGTAATGGAAGCCCCATTTTTTTCCTCGGATTCAATGAGCACTACCACATTTTGGGGCATTAAGAATGGGAAGCTACTATATGACCCCAGGTTCCAAATAGCCTGGAAATTAAGGCACTGTATTATTCATAAACATTGTTTTTGGTTTACACTTCAGCTTGCCAATTAGATCCGAATGGTTCCTTCAGGTTAACCTCCTAGCTAGCTCAATTATCAAAGTGGTCATCATCTCTTCCAAACTTGTTTCACCTTCTTTAACAGGCATGATAAGCAGGCACCAGCTTACAATTTTATGTAAGCAAAGAATGAATCTAAGCAATTACCTGATTGCTCCGTTGTGTCTGCCGCTAGGCCGTACTGTGCACCAGTGGCACGGCGCTCGGCTTTCTCAAGGGTGCCTGCGAACGAAAGATTTTTTAGAGCAAATCATAATAAAGGCAACATAGGGTCACGCAACTAGTTAAAGAGTGCCCGTCTAATTCTCAGAAAGACAAACGTCCCTAGAAATAAATTTGCCACCTTAAAAAATATTGACAACAAATTGGCACAGCTATGATCAGAAACTGAAGAATGACACCAAAACAACCGTTTTAAAGCAATGAAACTTGAGCTGTTTGCAGAACTTTTTATGGAGATTTTAAAGATATAATTAGTTTTTTCGCAAGCTGCATACTTTGAGTCCCGCAACGTGACAAAGCAAAAACCTCTAGCCTCCCCCCCCCCCCCTCCTCTTTCCACTACTAACTGATAGTTCATAATATTTTAAATAAAGTATAGAATGCAGAAAGCCAATTAGAAAGTGTATACAAAATATGTAATAGACGTGAAAAATTACAACATAAAAAGTCTCTGTTTATTCTACCCTAGTAAAAGTTTACATATAACTAATTTCTTTACTATATAAAAATACTGAAATTGAAACAAGATAACCGCATTTCTCGTACTTTGGAACAGATTGGGTGAACTGTATTGACACGTGCGGTTCTTTTGGTTTACGAAGGAAGACGCTATCACTTTCTGTTAAGCGCAACGCAGGCCGCGTTTATCTTGTATGCCACTCTGGAACGCGTTACGACGCGTGTATAAAAAGCCGGCGCAGTGCGCCACTGGGGGTCTTTTCTTTTTTTTTCCCTCGGCCGACGACTGTTCACGTCGCTGTTGCTATGAGTTGTGTTTGGCCCCGTTTTGCTGGGCACAAGTTCGCCCAATAAACAGTTCGCCTGACACCGCCCTGACTCCTGCGTGCTTCCTCTCAAGTGCTGCGTGTTTCACAACCTCGTGACAGTATGTAGATCCAAGCACCAGAAGAACCCGAAAAAAGAGGGGCACATTGCAAAAAACGGCAACATTTATTTTGAGAAAAACGAGTCGGTTAAAACTGATTATTTAATAAATATGCAATTAAATGGAATGAAATTTCCACACAAAAAACAATAATATTTCTTGTAGTGGCAACTGCTGCTAAAATGCGCCAGCACCATAAGCTTATCCCTCAAAGCTCTTTCGAGCGGACTCCTCACACACTTCGCTCAAAAACAAAGCCATGAAACGCTTCCCAAACACTATCTGGCAGAGCCTTGTGCACTGCTAGCTATGCAGAATTTCAACAGGACTTTGAAATCTAAACAAAATCCAGTGTCGAGGGACACAACAATACCAATACCTTTGTGGCTCTTGTGGCCGCGTTTGTGCCACATACCGTCATACATAACGGCAATGTGATCCCCACCAATGTCTCTCACTGTGAGCCCTTTCGACCTCGCGAGACTGCCACAGACGACGTATACTGCCAAATCACGGGCTTTCCAGCTGGTGGCTGTAAATGACTCATGATGCATTGGCCAAAGTTCAAGCAAAAAATTGCTGCAAATCGGACCAACTGCTCATAGCCCATTCCTACAGGGTGCGCTGCCACAAAAGCTTTCCCACTGGCAGCACAGCTATTGCTTGAGCTACACCTTTCCGGGTCCATAACAAAGATAAACACACAAGAAAAGCTTTCAACTGTGCTGCTTGACGAGACATGAACCCCGCAAGTAGGCTCTACACTTACACACAGTGGTTATCCCCGATCCATAACACACAATATAAAAGCCAGTCGCGGCATTAAAGAAAACTGGGTAAAAGCATGCTTCTGTTTATTTCTTGCACTGAAGCAGTGAAGAAAACAGTAGTTATTTGAAAAGTGAGGCTTGGCTCTTTGCCTCATGCGATCGACAATGGCGAGCAGTGGCGCATTATCAGGGGTAAGGGGCTCAAAGACTGCACACTAACAACTTTTTAACAACTAACTTGTGCTCTTTGGACACAATGTTAAAGCATTTTTGGTTGAGTATCGACATATATATCTTCTTTCGGTACAGTAAAGGTTCTATTCTTAACAGGTGAGAACAAAAATTTTAAATTTTTTAGAAAACTCTTGTTTTGCGACCCACATCTCTTCTTAACAGTTCTAAATGTTTCTACATGCTTTAAAAGTTATCAGTCGTACATATTGTTAGCAGTCAGTTTCATGACCCATGGAAGTGTCATGCTGCAGTACATATCTTAATATGTGTTTATATTATCAATGAAAAAGTGACCTGTTTAGAAACACGAACAATTTGAACAAATTCACTAAGCTGGTACTCATTGTAGCGGTGTTCATTGTAGCGGGGTTCAACTGTAGACGGCATGCTGGGCCAGTTGGTTGCAATCCCTTTTTAACTTAAATTACAGCAAAGCTCAAGATGAGGTCAACAGGAAGAAAAGCAACAACACAGTGCCGTGCTGTCAATTCACTCCCTGTTGCTTTTGTTGCACTGCAACCAAGGTAAGAATAGATCACAGTATTGCAAAGCGGGCGGCAAACCTAGCAAGTGGTGACAAGTTAAAGCTAAGACATAGTTTGTCCGTGCAAGGCAACTATTCGGAAGTTGCCACAGAAGATTATCACAATGTGCTCTCACTCTCCAATAAACACCCAGAGCAACAAATTTTCAGCAGCAACTTCACCCCCAAAATATCAGCACAACTGAAAGCGTCACGAGCACAATTCTCAAGAACTCCATGGACCGAGCACCTGCCTTTCGTTTTACTAGGTCTTCACACAGCGTTGAAAGAAAACACGCAGCGCTCGTCTGCAGAGCTAGTTTTTGGCACTGCACTTTGTGTACCTTGCGAATTATTTACTTCAGAATTGAACTAAAGTACAACTGAAGTACATTGCTATGTGGATTGCCTGCGAACTACTATGACTACTGCCGCAGTACCGCCACTTCGTCATGATTCCAAGACAGCTTATACCAGCCGCATCTTCATACACTACGATGTTACTCATGCTCCATTACAAACACCTTACAACGACCCTTTTAAAGTGCTCAAGTGCGATTTGAAGTACTTTATACTTTTAGTTAAGGAACACAATTAGACAATTCTTATAGACTGTTTGAAGCTAGCTCATGTGGACATGTCAAGCAGAGAGACTGCTTGATGGCAACATCTTGCCTGCTATAATAGATGGCCATTTAGGGGACCATGTGCATGGTGTCAACGAAAAAGATCCAGAGTCTCAGAAGCTCCGACTTCATGACAGTGACATCAGTTCAGTCACCCAAATAATTTGTTTGTTTTGAGCCTTCTGTTCCCACATGGCAATTGCTATGCCGAACATCGGTGCCACAAGGTGTCTAAATTAATTTTTAACCAATTCATATATATTCTGAAGAATTCAAGCCCAGTATTTTTTCAAAGCGTGGATTCATCATCACGAAAATTTTCATAGAGTAAGTTGCATGCACCAGAATGAGAAGGCTGTGCAATACACAGACGCATGATGCATGCCAGTCTCCGGGGATATGTACGACTAATTACCTGGCAGTGTTGGTCCCCGTTCTTCAGTTGGCGTTGGCTACAGCCTCAAAGAAAGTAAAAGTGTTAGGTGACTATGTACCTAGTGAAAGATCCATGAACAGTGGTTGTCACTGTGCCGATCTTGCAGTCTCTTTTCATAAGTACCTACCATAGCAGGTTTATATTATGCTTTCTATGCCCTCCTGAAACAAGAGGGGCAAAGGAAAGGGCAAATAGAAAAATGAGGTGAGAAAAGAATTAAGGCAGCTTAGCCCTGCTGCTGCTAAGCCTGAAGGAAGTGTGGAGCCTTTTTTGTTTCTCTTGGGTTTGTTTTTCCTCCTCCTCGTTTTCCTCACTTTTTTCTGTATTTATCTTTGTGTTTCTATTTCTTTTACTTTGTATCCTTTCTTTCCTTTTCTTTTTATTTTCCGGCTTCCTCTCATAATTTTCACACATGGTTTGCATTGTCATGTTTGTGGAGCGATAAGAAAGAAGTGTACGCTTGAGGGCTCATTTTTTTTGTTAGACAGAATATTAACGCTGCACCTAGCCATAGTAGTAACGTCCCACCTTAATATCACTGTCGAAACACTCAGAGAAGAGGAAGAAGACTTCTTTTAAGTGTGAGCATGCGCTCAATATGCTGTATGTAGATTTGCAGGTATCAGGCCAAGCAACAGTGATAGCATACCACCTGAAGTGCTCTGCATTAAAAAAAATGGGAAGAGATACTGAGATAAAGTGGCGTGCCTAATTTGGTGTGTGAAGAGAAAACACAACAATGAAACAAAGAAAACTAAGGGACAAGGAAGATGGCACATGTTAATGTGCCCAAATTTCGGGTTTTTCCTAAGTGAAAAGTTTTTCTTTTTTTTTACAATTAGTCTGATGTGCCCAAGGTAAACACAAAAAACTCTCAGAAACTTCACTTACTGCAACGAGCCACAAGCCAAACTGGGTACTTTTGCCAGGCTGCAGTTGGGTCCACCCGGTCTTGAACCAATTCTTCGACCCGAACACCCCTCCTCTTTGGAGGCCAGTGGCACTGAGCCTGGTCTTCCGTTAGCCACGAGAGTGGCACAACGGCCACTTTATCTTGTGCTTCGGGAAACGTCACGACAGCAAAAAGCTTTGGCGTGCTGTAATCAAAGTGGTAAAGTTTGTAGCCAAGATACCGCGTCAATTTTGTTCATTCACTGATAACGAACTACATGTCAAGTCCAGAGCAGCTCTAATAAAGAAGACGCCTCAAACTTCACGAAAAAATTGAATGTTTATGAATAATGAGAAGAGGTACCAAGTGCCTTACATGTTATGTTGTAATTACGGATGGCAACATACACTGAAAAAGTGGTAGCTTATAATTTACATGAGTGAAAAAGAGAAATTATAGTGTATAGAGTGCTAAAAATGAAAAAAACTGACATCTTTCACAATATGCTACAAAGATTTTTAATTGCTCTCTGCAATATGCCTAATGTAAATAAGAATGTATTGGTATATTTAATGATATTCGATAAAACTGCACACTGATGAAATGTGACAGCACTGTCTGTACAAAATAGCATAGATTTTTCCTGAACACACTGCAGCTGACATCTTGTTCGACCTTGTCCAGTGTGCCATACAAAGTACTGCCACATGCAACAGTGATCTATTCTGTGCCTAATAGCCACATGGGCAATGTGGAACAGCACAATAATTGGTAGTCTTAGATGTGCAATGAATATGTGGAAGCTATGCAAAATGGTTTAATTGGTGCCACAGGTGCTGTGCTATGTAGATGCACCATTAAACTAATATTTTTGATCAACTGTGCATTTCTGAAGTTTACCTTACAATTACGTGAAACTGGCATGCTTCTTGATCTACGATACACATGTGGCTTGTCTCACTTTGAAGGAAAAGTTAGCATACAATGGTGTAAATGCTTAGAATTTGAAATATTGAGGCAGCAGCACACCGGAGATGAAAACATGGTAAAAAAACGAGTGCTGCCTTATTACTGGCAAGTTGTCACTTATATGTACAAATAAATTTTGTGAGCTAAAAAAAGTACAAAAGCACAGCGAGACAATGATGTGGTTCAACCTGTGGATTCGCTTCATTTATCACGCCATATGATGAAGCTTCCTTTGGTAAAACTGCCCAGATAAGAAAAAAAGTTTGCTGTCCAATACAGCAACTACACAAAGTGTGCACGTGCATCTCGTAGTGCATTTTCGTCACTTCACAAATGCGCCACCGACATGCCCGGGCACCAATTGAATCTATCGCCTACAACTGCCATGTCTCCTCGTGCTTGCACCCGTCAAGTTTGAGAAATTATGAGCTGCTGGTGAGGCAAGTTGATTTAGTAGTCCAGGCAGAGGGAGCAGAGCTTAGGGTGTTTCTTCGCTGAAAGTTATTACCTAAAATTGAGAACACACATTGCGATTTTCCTAAAAGTACCAGCATATTTGGCTGGTGCAGATTAACAAAAGCTACTTGAAGAAACTTTGCAATATTTGCATCTTCAGGTGCAACTTCATTACGGGCAAGTGCCATAGCCAAGTATTTACCTGCAAACAGATATAGCTTACCAAGGTACTGTACATACAAACTTTTCCGCAGTTAAAATTGTGATGGCGAGGAAGGCGGTTAAAATCGTGATGGCGATCGCGGAGATTTGGTATTGCATTGAAACAAACTGTAAAGAATGGGAAACAATATTAGTTCACTTTGAAGTATAGCCGATCGGTTCAAGTTGGGCGTCAGGATTTTTTTTAATTAGTCAATTAATTCTATACACAGTCTATCATGTTCAGTGACTCCACTGTACATTAGCGTACAACAAAAGCAAAATACAAAGTGAAAAGTGTGTTAAAGCATACGCGAAAAATAAAGTGATGACTGGAATTACTGCGGCACACACCACGCAAAGACGCTATTTGCCTTGTATGATATTTTCCTCAACTATTTCCACAAATTGCAATCAAAGAGGCTGAAGCTCAACATCAGCACTGTTTAAAACACTTGGGGGGGGGGGGCATTGCTGCTTTGGTGGCGTAGGCCGCGAAAATATATTCATAATATTATATCTCTTGTAAACTTGCCTAGCTCTGCACGACTAGTTTTCGATGGGAGCTGCTGCGCTTCGCACATCCACTCTTAAAATTGCGGCTCGAGAGATTTTGAGCTTTCACTTGTTTTTGGGCCAGGCAATTTGTAGTGAAAGCAAGATAATAGGCCCTCATAGGTTGTGGCGGGCAGCCGGTGTACGCCGTGGCTGGTGTATGTGTCGCACATCTTGATTATCTGGTCTTGTATCGAGTGAACGAGCAAGGCCTTCCTGATCCAATGAGCTCGTTAAAGTAAGACAACAAAAAACCACAATGCTTCCACATCGTTCACAGCAACAGATGACCAGCCCCCTAATAACCGCACTGCAGCACGTGAACTGCCGTAGATACCCAGAGAGTTACCCGGGCATGGCGGGAGAGGGCGACAACGGCAGAAGTGACACCAGAAAAACACTATGTGTAAAGGGGACATTTAAAGACTTTTTTCCCATTTTTAAACTTCATGCACTGTTCTGTCAGAATTTATTGCTCAGAATAGTTGTATTTTGAAAAGGGCACTAATTCATAAGCCCAATGGTTCAAGGATGCGTGCATTTAGGGGGCCCATTTTACGTTTTACTAATGCCCTTCAAGAACTTGCTTACAGGGCCAAAGTCCTGTTTCAGAAGGAACAGGCTAGTGCATGGCCAGCAGTCCGTCAAGCACTAGTGCTGGTGAGATTTGGAAATGCAGCGCATGCGCATCTTCATCTGCTACTTCTCTGCTCATGCTCTCGAGGCTTACTTGCGAGGCACGGTCCTTCGCACTTTTCATTTTCACACTGTAAATCAACTGATACCAACTCTGCCTTTCATTATTTAATAAACCAACATTTCATGGTCACGAGGACGAGCTTAAAATGTTTGCTACATCAGAACTGAACAGTATTTTGAGTCATCGAAACTTGCCAGTTGCAGCGAGCATTATGCGAAAAATATGTGCTTTACGGTGACAACTTGCAAAACACTGCAGCAACGATTAAAATCATGCATTTTTTGTGCTCACAGGAAATCATTGAAGCAGGACGCACTGGGCTAGATAAATTGCGCAGCTAAAATACGGATGCGCTTTCCAATGCTGTCATGCGTACAGGCGGAGAAGTGGCAGACAAAACTGGGCGCACCCGATTCTATGCGCATGCGTCCCATTCACAAGCCTCACTGCCAGTTAGCACCACATGGCTCACAGTCCATGAGCTCGCTTGTTTCCTGTAACAGCGGACCATACGGTACACCTATTTAAAAATGAGGATAGAATGTATATAATGCAGCATCTGATGAAGCCATGATGATGTGTTGCTGATGAAATCTGGAACTCTAGTTAGTACCCTTACTGTAAACCAGCCGACCAACTAGCAAAAAGATTTGCGACTGAAATAATGGCATCTACACCTGCCCTTAAGGGACACTGAACAAAGTTTTTGCCGCCGAGATTTTCAGTCAAAGTGAAAGATTGGGCCATGAAATTCATAGACAATAATAATTTCAAGCAGAAACTACGAAAAAATACGGAATTTAAACTACGAAAAAATACTGAATTTACTGAGCCTTTTACAAAATGCCACGTCTAGCCTGTGGTGTTTGCGAAAGACGTAAGAAGCACCGGCAGCACCACCGTACAAAAAAAAGACCTATATTGTACGCAACACATCGAATATATACATAAAGGACAGACGCGCCCCCTGGGGGTGAAAGAACACAAAGTAAAAACTGAAACTGAATATAACATACTCCCTCCCTTATATGTAGCGATTAGTTGTTAGTAAGTGTTAGTAAGAAACCCCCATGCATTCACTGTACATTTTACACGCTGTATACACATACATATTTACACTACATACACACTGTGCTATACACACAGGCAACTAGTGGGTCTGATAGTCGTTGAACCAGATCGGTGGCCGGCGCTCTCGGGACAGCCGATGGGGATGCTGCACGGCCGGAGATGGTAATGAGCTTGTAGAGCTCTGTAGTACGCCAGGAGACCGCGATCCCGGCCCAGGAGAAGGCGGCTGCAGCATGGCAGGCTCCGGTACAGGCAGCTGCGGATCAGGAGCAGGCAACTGCGGTACGGCAAACTGCAGTACGCCAGGAGGCGGCGGCTGCGACCCGGGAGAAGGCGGCGGCGGCAGGGCAGGCTGCGGCACTTGAACCGGAAGGTGTGGCGCAGGCAGCTCCGAACGTTGGTATGGTGGACTCGTGCCCCTTTCAGGAACCCGGGAAAGCTTGGAGGCGTTCCATGTGCGGCCGTTTGCAAGTCGGAAAGAGGCAGGTCTCCTCTTCCTCAACACCTCAGTTGGCGAGGAAAAGGGGCGATCCCCCTTGAAGCGAACGGACGGCTTCTTGATACGAACGAAATCACCCACAGCTATCTTTGGCTCCTTAGCAGCTCTCCTGCGGTCCGTGTACTCCTTACCGCTTTGCTGTTGGAGCCGGATACTTTGGCGCAGTCGCGCCAGTTTCTTTGCTGGGCCTTTTGCAAACGCTGGTGCCGAAAAACCCCACAACATCCAATCTGGTTCGGGGCATTCGCCCATGCAGCAGAACTGCTGGGGCAACTCCAGTGGTAGCCTGTGGAGTACAGGGGTAAATAGAGAGGTAGTCCGTAACTGCTTGTCGGATAGGTCTCCTTTCGAGGAGTGAAACCTGGATGAAGTTCTGCAAAGTTCGTTTGAACCTCTCGACTTGCCCATTCGCCTGGGGGTAATATACAGACGAATGAGACAGCTTGATGGCTCGGTTTTGAAGAAAGGTTACAAATTCACGTGAAGTGAACTGCGGCCCATTGTCGCAAACAATCTCTTCCGGGTATCCTTCATGGGCAAAAACACTGGTTAAGAAGTCTTTCATGGTGCTTGTGGCCACTTCACTACAGAAATATATCTCTGGCCATTTGGAATGGTAATCGACCAGTGTTATAGCAAATTGGCTATTGTGAGGTGCATGTTCCAATGGGCCAACAATGTCTAGGCCCAGGTTCTGCCATGGCCTTTCAGGCTAGTCAATAGGCTGCAATGGCGCTGGTGATGTTTTGGCAGA